CCACATTATTGACCTTAAGTGTTAGAAGCATAATACCTACAAATAGATTGCTCTGAAAGAGGAATAAGAAGTACTCTTCAGTATTGCAGAAATATTATCTTGGGCTGCACTAATGAAGCATTTTGAAAGTTTCCTTAACATGAAGGCAGCTCTGGCACTTAAAACCACAACTACTTCTTAACACAATCACCTCAAATGTTGCAACAGCTATGAAATACCATTATGTGACTTACTAGGCAAAGATGGTTCCATTGTAGCCATTCATACAAGATTCGACAATATTTTTGGCCACACTTGAGAACACTGACTCCTAGGGACAAGGGAAAGAGAAGGCACTTGACATCAGTTATTTCAGCATCTCTTCTATCGGTATTTTCTATGCCATAACTTTATAATGTATAAAATAGATGCATTCTTTATAGTTAGACACATATCATGACCCCCCGGAATTCTCACAGCAAAACAACGCATCCTAAGCCATTGTGACAGAAATCACTCCCTCCCTCTGAAAAATTTTATTCTTTGTTGATAACTGTAAGAAAAATAATAAAATCGTGACAGAAATTACTCCCTCCCTCTGAAAAAAATTTATTCCTTGTTGATAACTGTAAGAAAAATAATAAAATTCAGCATCATAGTGATGACTTTGTAATACATATTATGTTAATTTTGGTGCAGAGGTTTTGATTACATTGTGTGGTTTATACAATCAGAAGGTAAACACTGAGCCTATGACACTCATCAAATCTAGGTAACTTTCAACATTTGCCACTGCACACTCAACAAATCTGCACAACTGTTATTAGCCTCATCTATTTTCACGTATTTCTCTTAGGCCTGCAAGAAAAGCCTCGCTACAAACAGTGGACTACAGTGGGTGGGGGTTCTGGGGGTGGTGGTGTTGGTTTGGTTTTGTTAAACAAGTTAAATGGCATTGAAGTCTCAGAGGAATTGAAATTGTGTTCAGAATTTCAAACACGATATTATTGAAGATTAAATTGCCAGTATTACCTGTCCCAGGTGAACAACACATATGTTTAAAAGGCAAATGTATAAGAAGGAAATATAACTAATAGAATATAAACTCGTAAGTTTCTAACATACAAATTGCACGTTTAATATCAGTTACTGAATAACAGCTACTTTTATACCTTTGTCTCAACAGAGGGGGTTATTTCTTGTATATGGTGCTACTGTAACATTTACAAATAGACGTTTCAATTTTAATGCAACCTTTAATTAAATTAATTAACAATTAAAAATACATTAAAACTATTAGATAGCAGAATTTAGTGCAACGTTTCTGTACTATAACTGCATACTACCATTCCAACTACTGTAAAAAATAAGACCTAAGGCATTACATCTTTAGAAAGGTTTAGTGTAGCAACTGCCAAAATTTTGGGGAAAACTGCAACACCATTATGAGATTCAGGAAGTTATTACCTGTGTTGTTTCCATATTTGCAACATAATCAAAAGTAAAGATCTTTGGCTCAGGCTTTGAATGCAGACGGATGGTATTTGATGACAGGACAGATAAACACAAGCCTTGATCTCCATCGTTCAACGCAGCTCCCTCCGAAGGAGGACGTACCCTTACGTAAACTTTGATTGCATCACCTTCAACACTAAATGAATATTTATGCATTAGATTACTTCGAAATAGATCTGTCAGCTCTTTGATAAAATTAAATCACACAAATCAGATTAAGCATGCGAAGTCACACAACACAAAGGCACTACTTATAGCTGGACACATCAATTCATTATAAGTCAAAGATTTATTAAAGGTAGAAAAGCTGCAGATTTAAAACCAACGCTAAGTTGGTGGAATCTATTGCTGTTGCATTTAACTTCAGCTCTAAAAGAACACATTTCACAGTGAACTTGAGATAACATAAAAACAGTGTTACAATAAAGGTTTTGGTAGTTTCCAAGACTACAGGCTTCAATCATCCTTCTTACTACTAGAAGCTATAAATGACTTTACAAATAGAGCAGGTGATGCTACAATTCCAGCAAGAAAGTTACTAGCATTTTTCTTTGCTGCTTGCAAGGGAAATAATCGATTCTTGATCCATGGGTCCAATAAAGTATAGCAGCACCTACATCTAAAAGGTTCCTAACCTATTTAATCAGATTTATCAGTGGATGCACCAGTAAATTTAGCTTGAATAAGCAGTTCTGCATTATTATTATATTAAATTTTTGAGGAGTTTTGGAATAAATACCAATACACCTATGTAATATTAAGAATTAAATTCTTACGTGAAGTGGCAGCAAACTTGGATATACTTTACTTAATTCTTTCCCAAAGAGCAGTTACAGCACAAGGGTGTTGTAACTATTATTGATTTTTACTTTCAGTAAACAAGAGAAAGAAACAGAATAGTTTTAAAAGTGGGGGAAGGACTTCAGGACTGAAATGTGGGGCTGAGGAGGCTAAAAAAAAGGAACAGGAAGCATCTGAGAAAGGGAAGATGTTATACCAGATTTAAGACAACTCACTAACTTGCTGAATATTTTTTCATTAGATAATATCAGTTGTGGCAGAAGCTGTTTATATGTGGAGGGCTTTTTTTTTTTTTAGCTTAGGACTTCCTCGTAGAATTGAAATTCCTCATGGAATATCTCTTCAGAGAAATTCTGGAGTCCAGCTGCAGAGTTAGTGGACAAATGAGAATTTACTGCACGGCAGCATGCCAACAGGAATCTGATGCCTCAGAGCAACACTTTTATTAAGAAAAGTATATTTTTAAAACCTATAAGGAAGTTCAGAAGCAACAGCAATAACCTTGTGCAGGAAAACACTGAAAAGAAAAGAACCTTTAAATTATGGTAAAGAGTTATATTAGGTTTCTTTGCACCTTTTGTGTAATGTGATTATTCATATATGGAAACTGGCCAATACTACTTTACCTTGGTGAGTTCAACGAAGGTAATGCAGATTCGCGTAAATCTCCTATAAAAGTGAAACATGGACAAAGATTAAACAAGATAAAGTTAATGCTCAAAATACCCCATTTAAATAGAAAATACTGTAAGCAGTGCTGAGTGAGATAAATGGAGAGCCTTATAAATATCCGTTTCTCATGCATGAACTGCACAAAAATATTTAGTAACTATCTTCCTTTGACAGAAAGTTTGCAGTTTCTGAGAAAGATAGAGAAAGCTCCAGTCCCACAATGTAAACATGCACACGTGTGTAAATGTATGTGCAATGAGCAATCTCTTAAACTAATGCACATAAGATTTTGCAGATGTTTTGAAGAATTAGGAATATAAATGTTAATAATATTATATGTTGCCATTCTGTTTTAAAAATTGCTAACTCGCTGCAGATTAAACAACGCAGCATGAAATAGTTTTACTGACACGACTGCAAAAACTCAATTTCCTAAACTTGCACAATTGAGTAGCTGCATTGCTTTCACTTTTATGAAGCAATATAGAGCACTCTGTAACGCATACAGCTTCCTTGTGTGTATGAGCACTGTTTTGCCCAGCTTCACATCTCAAGGAGATGGCACGTTATTAATTACCCCACAGGTAGATATGGTGACTTTTACTTAAGGGTGAATCTGACATGGAGTTATTTCACATAGGTTAGTCAAATTATTAACTTAGCACAATCAAATTTTTAAAATAAGTGACAATGAAAATTGATTTACCAAAATATTCCAATAATAAAAATGTTATAAAGTCTCTAAAAGTGCATAATTCTATTGCAGGAAGATCCCTTTGAAAGTAGGATTAATAATGGTGTGCAAAGGCACTAACCTTCTCATTAACAGTCATTCTACATAAACATTGTACTGATGCTGTGCGAGTCTACCTGCTTTGAGCCACACGGTAACGTCCAAGAAATTAGCTAATTTACAGTCCAGTTATTTACTCTTAAAACACACAAGGTACCAAAAGGAGCTGGGAGGAGAAAAGCAGTGCGTTTTAAAACCCTAAAACCAGACAGCCGCACTGCTTGTGCCCCGGGAAAGGGACGCACTCTCTACAAACCGTCCTTCAGTCCCATTTCAAAGGGCCGCTTTCACTTCAAGGTTTGTAAGGCGAACACCACAGCTGATGAAAATCCGATAAAATTACGGAAAACGAACCGAAAAACGCGGGCCGGCTGAGAGCCCGGGTGGGCTGCTCGCCCCTACCGACCCCGAGAAGCCCTTTGGGGGACACCGGTGCCTCAGGCGCTTCTGGCAGCGCCGGGGTCCCCCCTCCCCAAGCCGCTCCTCACCCCCCTTCCCCGGCACCACCGAGGGCGGCGGGGGGACCGCAGCCCCTGGGCCTCGGCCCCTCGGCGGGGCACCGAGCCCAGCCGACACGGCCATACCCGTAGCCGACCCCATTAGCTCTTACACCCGGGTAACACTCCTCCTCCGGAGGGCAAAGCTGTCCCTCACCCGGCCGGGGGGCGCGGTTAACTCTTACACCCGGGTCAGAGCTGTCCTTCAGCCGGCCGGGGGTCCTGCCTGCAGTGCGGCCTCCCTCACACAGAAGCCGCCACAGTCCCTGGCTGCTGCCCGCGCAAGTTGGGGGGAAATACCCTTCAGGCACTTCACGGCCGCACAACCATCTTCGCCTCACCCCTTCCCATCCCGTCCCATTTCCTTCTCTCACCTCATGAGGAAAGAAAATACCCTTACAGCTACTTCACAGCCAGACAACCATCTTCGCCTCACCCCATCCCGTCCCATTTCCTTCTCTCACCTCTCACGCCGGGCGCCATGATCCTCACCGGCCCTGCCGACCCCACCACCCTCCTGCCGGCTGACGGGCCGACCGACCACCGCTCCAAAATGGCGGAAGATTTGAATTTGGCGCTAAGAGCCGCAGGCAGCGTGGCCCCGCCCCCTCCGGGAAGCCAGCACGGGGGCGGCCATTTTGTTCTTATGTCCTCCTTCCCCTACTCCGGCCTTTTTCCTGCCATTGGCCAGAGGGGTCTTCGCCTCCTTCACGTGACGGGAGGAGGAACGGAAGGGAGGAGGCCTTTTGTTTGTGTCCCACTCGGGCTGCCGTCCTCCGCCGGGGCCCGGAAGCGGGCGGGGGGAGGCTGAGGCGGTACCGGCAGCGCGGCTCGGTGGCGGGCAGCGGCCATGAGCAAAAGGAACCAGGTCTCCTACGTGCGGCCGGCCGAGCCCGCCTTCCTCAGCCGCTTCAAGCGGCAGGTCGGGTATCGGGAGGGGCCCACGGTGGAAACCAAGGTAAACGGCCTGGCCTTCCCCTACTCCCCTCTGTGTTTCCTTCCCTCCCTGTGGGCTTGTGTCGGGGCCCTGCTTCCCTTCCCACCGCCGCCAGCCCCTCGCCGGGGGTGGGAAGGGGCAGTGGCCGCTTCACGGAGCCGCCACAGTCCCCCCCCCACCATCTCCTTAGGGCCTAAAATGAGGGCCCCGTCGCAGGCGATGGGGAAGCGGCCTTTCCAGGCTTTGCCCCCGTCGGGGTGAGGGGTAACAGTAGTTACTGGCTTAAAATTAACTGAAATTGCCTTTGTAGCTTGTTTTTGCCTCTGTGTCAAGGATTCAAAATGACGACGACAACACCAACAACCCAGTGCCCCTCCCCGTTGCTGTTTTTAATAGCTGTGGTGAATGTGGTGCCCTTTGCAGAGCAGCCAGTGCTGGGAGGGGCAACGGGGGAAACGGTGATGATGTCACAAGTTTAATTTCTTTAACTTCTGCCCTGGCAGAGATTTAAAAAAAAAAAAAGCGTTTTAAGAGTATAAAAAAATACATTGGAAAGGGGATACCACCATCTTAACAACATGTCAGCAGACACGAACTCTGGTGTGGTGGCAGGGGCATTGGGCTTTGAGCCAGCTTGTTAAAAGGCAGCCTTTTCTGAGGGCATTCTCTTATTTTCGATGTTTCCAGTGTGCTTTTGCATGTATTTTCTGCTAACTATTAGGTTTTACAGGATGCCTTAAGAAAAAGGTCTGTTATTTGTAACAAGCTGGAATTTGAGATAAAAGTACTCATGTAGTACAAACTGTTTCACTTCCTAAGGAAGATTGCCTTTTGTCTATCTCTTAGTAACTTCAGTGGATTACTGTACAACTATCTATATTTATCCATTAGAAGATGAAGTTTCCAGTTCCTGTAATGTTGCCACACTTCATGGTGTTGCACCAGTGTTTCCTTGCCAGCAAGTTTACTTTTATATAAAAATCTTCTTGCAAATGATTCTTCTGTCTCGGAGCACAAGTTTGAGAGAGTGGAAACACAAACATCATCTTCCTTGTGTTAATAATGTTTGCAATGATTTGGTTTGGCAGATTTAATAAAAAAGCCACCATAAGCTCCCTGTTCAGAGTACAGCATTGAAAACTCAAATTTAGACCCACGCATTTAAGATTTTCTTAAGTGTTGCATGGCAAGCAGTGCTTGTACAACAAAGATAATGAACAGAACAAATGAAATTCTTGCCTTCCAAGTTCCTACTGTTTTGGTCTTTAATTGAAAGAGCCCATACTGTTTTTTCCTGAGTGCCATTTGGACAAAGCTCGTTGCAGGGCCAGGCACTGACAGCTGTGCCAGGTCTCCTCACTAGCCTTATTGCAAAAGAAACCAAAGAGTACCAAACAACCCTCAGCTGTTGTGATTTAATGTGGTCATTAAAATTGCTTTTATTTCTCTCCCATCTAGAGAGAGCAGCTTCCACTTGCAGATGATGATAGTGAGAACGGCAGTGACAAGGAAGATGAGCAGCCTCAAGTGGTAACATTGAAAAAAGGGGACTTGACTGCTGAAGAAGCAATGAAAATTAAACAGCAGATTAAAGAGGCCTTAAAGACAAATGAATCAGGTGAATTTCAAAGTATTAATTTTTTGCTTTGTATAGTCAAAGAGAGATAACTCATAAAAGGGAGCCTGATGTTTGTTCAGTTTTCCAGCATTTAATACTACCTTTGATTACTTGTTTTGAATTTTTTAGCTACATAAGTTAGACCTGTGATTCCTAATCTGAAATGGTTGAGTACATACGCAAGCTGTCTGGCATTTTATAGTGTTGCAGTTCTTTGCTGCTTTGTTGTCCACCATCCTACCTCCAAATACCACCTTAAATCTCGTTTGTTTGTTTTGTTTTCGTGTGTCATTGTCCTAGTACACAGTCTTTTAACATCACCTGTGATAATTTCAGAACTCATTAATTAGTTCAGCCAAATTTGACAGTGGAGTAGATGTCTTAAAGGTAATTGCATGAGTTTGTGAAAAAGAGTGGCTGGGCAGATGGAGGAAACTCAGGTTAGTGCTTCAGTAGAAAAAATGGCAGGTGTGTAAGTTCAGTAAGGTGTTCCCCTAATGACTGGTCCATGTTATTACTTAAAATCATCCCAGGATGTGTTGTGACTTGCAAACATGTTAAGCAAAGCTAAATTGATTAGTTGAAAATAACATGTGATACAATAGTGCCAACGAACAGCAAAATATAGAAAAAAATTTTCTGTGCTACAAAGAGTTACAAACCTTTATCTTAATTATTTAACAGGCTTTTCAAGAATGGAAAGATGGAAGTAGTGTGGGAGAGGTTGCTGCAGTTAGACAATGAAAAGGTGAAACTATAGCTTATTAATATAGTTATGTTAAGAATTTTTGTCAGTATTCATCATGCAGATATGATGGCTGACAAAAATGCTTTGAGTGTCCAAAAATTTCCATCATTACACAAGGTGTGATGAAGTGTAGCTTTATTTCTGGGGGTTTTTTTGTTGACAGAAGACAGATTAAAGGTAGGTATTGCAGTCTCTAGTGGAAATGTCTTGACAATTAAGAATATAGAACTGGAACCTCACAAGTATAAAATGGAAAGGTGATTCATAGAAGCTGTGGACTTTTTATTCAGCCACTGTGGCTATTTACAGTGGCTGTACATAAAGTTCAGAGCAGATTGAGAGGCTAGCATACAGCTATCAGTGGGAGATCCTTAGCTTTTGTCTTTTTCTGCCATTTGAATTTGACAATTCGCATTTCTCTTGTCCCTATATAGAAGTATGTGTTAAAAGCAAAAGGGTATCAATGGAGAAGTCAAGTAACAAGTAAGAAGTCAAGTAACTAGGAGAAAATATGTTGAGAATCTTGCATTTTTGAAAAGCAGATTGATGAAAAACTCTTAATTTTTATAACGTAGGTTAGCTTGAAATTAAATAAAACTATGTCTGATTTGTTTCTGCAGGTAGATATGTGTATGTAAGGTGTAACCAGCCAGTGGGCTGAGGGCTGTGTTTATATAATTTGAACTTCTCTGAGAAAATTTGTCCAGCTTCAGGCTTACTTCCTGATCTCTTATTGTTGAATGTATTGGTGTTGCTCTTTGTAAAGATGTCACATGATTTCTTTTCAAAAGTGGTATCACCCTCCTAGTACTGGGAGAAGTTTCAGCCTGTTGGAAAGAAATGGCATGATTCTTTCTAAGCATTGGTTTCCTTTTCATGTAAGCAACTTGAATTTTGAATGATCACAGTAGGAGGAAAAATTATTTTGTAAGGCTGGGCAAAAAGAAGTCGTTGTCCATAAGAATCTATTGAGGTGGAGTCCATGCTGTGAAAAAAGTCCAAAAGAGCTACTAAGTTGAATACACAGTATGAAATGGAAGTGTATTTGAAGAGAGTGACTGAACTTCTTTGGTGGAAAAAGACATTCCGAAGACATAATTGTATGTAGTGAGGACGGTAATATTGAGTCCCTGTGGAACTGTGGCACCTCTGCTTATTACCCCTTCAGCCCTTCAGCAGTAACTTGCATTTGGAGGTAGAAACCCCACAGTAGTAGGTAGCAGGAGTGTTGAATCACTGTGCTCTGGGGACTGCTGCCCTCTGTTCTACGCTATTGTGTTATTATTCGTTCATCTGCCTTTACTGTTAATATGAGGTCTTGGCCTCCTTTTCCTTTTCTTGGCTTATGGGAATAAACAGGGTAAGCACTACTACACTCCTCTGCTATGACAGGACCCGGTGTGAAATTTTTAATGAAGGTGTGGGTATCTGCTACAGCTTGTTGAAGGCTTTTTTTTTTTTGAGTCTTTGTCCATCTTTGCACTGTCAGTCTGACCTCTAGATTTAAATTCTGATTTCTAGTCAGAGACGGGCATTGAGACAGCTGGTTACTTGCAGTTTAATAAAGAGAGTTTTGAATAATGTGTTAATTTCTTTTCTTGTTTTGGATAATTGTCAATTCTGAAAATTGGAAGTACAAAGAAAGCTTGATACTACATGATTTGATTACATTTCTTGTTGCTTTGATTTTTTTTTTTTCCCAGAGTTGGAAGTGAAATTAATTTCACAGGTACTAGACCATAACATATAGCTCCAAATTGTATAATTTGTGAAATTGTAAAGCTGAAAATGTAGCAGGGAAGTAATTTTTCCAACTGATAATCTCCCTTTCCACCATGCGTCAATGCTGAGGCACTTAGTTAGCAGCACATTACTTATGATCTATCAATCTGTTGTGAACAGAAATTGTCAGTTTTTCAAAACATGGAAAGTACTCAGTTTTGAGATTCTGCTCCCTCCTCTTTTATATCTGTAGTGATTGTCTTCATTTAAAGGCCCTTGTCTTCAGCCTTTGATTTGGGATATTATTCTAGGATTTTTCGTATCTCATTTACATCCATTCCCCTTCATTTTCTTCTATAACCATTTTGACACGGATACACTTTTTTTTTTTTATTATTCAGGCACCAGCAGTTCCTGTGACTAGCTTTTTTTTTTTTACAGAAACATTTCAGTAATGCTTTTGCATTAATTTGGCAAAAACAGCTGATTAATGTCAGTTGCACTTGGCTGCCTCCTTAGGCAGAACAAAATTTAGCGAGGCTTGTACATTAGCTTTTTAACTGTAGTCACAGGGAACTTAAATATTTAGGATAAGAAGATGCCCTTCCATATTGAAATATTTTTCTCCACGGAGGACTAACTTACAGGCTTATGCAGCATTTTATGAATCTTTACTGTTGGTTCAGAGACAAAGAAAAACGATCGTGTGAGTAATTCAATTTGCACAAAAAATGGCAATTACTGCAAAGTGCTTTATTCCAACATTCATTATAGTCTATGGAGTTGCTTTTTCTACTGCTTTTCTAGTTCACCTGGCCTCTGGGACACTGATACGTGCAGGTGACCAGGGTTGGCAGAAGGAGTCCTTAACTCATTCCAAGTCTTTTAATATTATTCTTGTCACGTTCTATATGCTGGGGTTGGAGGAGGGCAAGAGAGGGGAGAGGCAAGGAGAATACAGTCCATGCTGGCTTGACTATCCAAGCTCTTTCTTTAGCCTAAGCAGCCATTTTATCGGATACGTATCACAGAGTTCACACTACTCTTCATCATGTCAACAGCAGGAATCTAAATTGAAGCTAATTTTATAGTACTTAAGTAACAAAAACTTTCCCAAGTGTCCTCATGAATGATTGAATATCTGAGCCTTTTTATCTTCCAAAGGCACACATAGAGATGGGTGGCCAGAAAGCACTAGAGGGAGCTTCTGGAATGGCTGACCTGAACTTCTAACCTTAGAAACCAATAAGAAATTTGCCATGTTATAATTTTTCTTCCTACCTTTATCACTGAATAGGCATATATCTTGAAATACTGCTTGTACTGCTCCTTCTGTTGTTCCTGCCAGTTTGGTGGTGTTTCCAGCTGTTGGCTTCATTGACTCATGCAGACAGACATTGTTAAAAAATGGTGATGCTAACCACACAAATTACTAAATAAAAAAATACAGTAAACAGAAGAGCAGTGTTTCTTTTTAAGACCCTCATTTCTACTTCTCTTGTAATATATAACTTGCAATTAAAAGAGACGAAAAATTTTCTGAATGTCTTAATGTCATTTGTGAGGTGAGTTTTCAGCTGAACATCTGATGGTGCCCCTCTTAGTTGACCAGTGTATAAGGTTTGTGATCCAGGTAAAAGCAGCAGTGACTTAAGAGCAGTTAGAATTTCAACTGCTACTGTAGTTTATTGACTCTCGTCAGAAGTGGATTTTATTCCGTCTCCTGTAATGGTTTTATGTTGGTTGTTTAACTTTCTGTGTTGCAGTGTGTTTATCAGAAATCCTGCTTTCCTTAATTTGTAATACTGATACAGTCTTTTTTTCAGGGCTCTGTTTTAAAAACAACCAGTGCTGAGATTACTTCTTCAATCTCTTCCTTGTATTGCTTAATACAAGTCAGGCTTTGGAGGTCACGGATGAAAACAAAAAAGACTGCTGACACGTGAGGGTCTGGTAAAATTAGTAAGGAGGAGGTGAAGCTTTTACCAGCTGGAAAAGACAATCTTAACAAATCAACACAAATTTCTTGAGCAGCTATATCAAATTCTTTCAAAAAGCGTAATCTGCCTGTTCTGCCTCTTTCCAGGAGCTGCTTAGGTGAGGCTGGGCCCGCTGTGTTTCTTCATCTGCTTCATTCTTTGTCAAGCACTGCCAACACATCATCTCTCTCTGAAGCTGGCCTGGGCTTCCTGCTGAAAGGAATGTCCTTGAGCATATAATGAAATTTTGACAGTGTTTAACCAGGCCAAGAGCTAAAATATTTTCCTTTGATGCAGAATGGATCCACAAATAGTATGAGGCCCTGGAGGTCATAGCTAAGCTAGTTGCCATTTTGGTGGAGTTTTTGAGCTTTTTCTGTTTATACACTTTGCTTATTAAGAGCTTAAATTCACATTGCAAAGATACCTATCAGTTTCTCCATCTGGCAGAAAGATGAAATGATTTTGTGCAGTTCACAATGTGGGTAGCAGGAGACTTGGGGGTAAAATTGAAAACTTCTGCAGGAGACTTGGGGGTAAAATTGAAAACTTTTACTTCCACTTTTACATGGAGTAAGAGTACGTAGTTGTTTATCTGATTTATTTTGTGGATGTGCTTTTGTTAGGTTTCATTTTTCAATTTACTATTCTAAGAAAATGTAGTAATTGCTCTTTAAAAGAGTGTCCAATGAGATTTTTTTTTTGATGCTTCTCATACTTACGTGGTAGCTGATTGAAGTCCTGTTTCCACAGCTATCCTGGCACTTGTAGGTAGTCTGTGTGCTGATTGGCTCAAGTATATGGACAGTTGGGTCTGCTTATAAGTGGTTATTTTTTTTATAGGTGCTTTTTTTGGCAGAATTTGGCTTATATCATATGCCTCATATCTTGTTTAAGTTAGAAGATCAGGGTTTCCAAATAAACAATGTAGTTAACCAAAGATTAGTAAGGGGAAATTACTTTATATTTAACCTCAGAGTCCCAAAATGGAGGCAGTTACGTGAAAAAACACTTTAGATTTTGAATTTTTAATCCAACTTCTGAGAAAAATGGTACATAGTGCATTTTGATTGGTTGTGATTTGTTTCCAGAAATAGTTATATTTCTCTGCCAGAATTTACCATAGGCACTTCCGAAACTTCTGTATCCCATTTAGAGCATCTAAACACTGAAAGTTTCCATGCAGAATTCACAAGAGATCCATTTACGAATATGCTTTTCATATCTACCATTTGTTATTGCTGGTAATTCCTTGTAACTGTAACACTTTTCTAATGCACCAATACTGAAATATTTTCCCCAAACCTGGTTAGTTATTTTCTGCAGAGTAGTATTCTCCCAGAAAGTACTGCAGAAGCCTGCATTCTGCACAAATCACAGACAGAATTGCTGCTTAGGTTTTTTAAGCTAGGTTTCTTCTTAAAAAGGGTCTGTGAAACTTAAGGAATTATGAGTAAGGGTTCCTGATGAGGTTGATGGTCTTAATTGGTATCACACAACCCTTAAGGCACCAGATTTAATAGTTGTGGTGTTTGGAGTTTGGAGGCTACCCAGGGAAGTGGTTGAGTCACCCATCCTTGGATGTGTTTAAGAGTTGTTTAGATGTGGCTTTGGGGGATATGGTGTAGGAGAGAACTTTGTAGAGTAGGGTGGGTGGTTGGACTCGATGATGCCAAGGGTCCTTTCCAACCTTAATGATTCAATGAGTGTGCACTGAAGAGTGTGTCAGCCAATGCTGTGCATGGTAACACTGAAATGTTATTCTTCTGCCATAATGCTTATGAATTGAGGAAAGAATTTGGGCCAAAGGCAAAAGATATTTATTGGTTATGAATAAATAGCACATAATCTTGTCAAACACATGTACATTGTTAGGAAATTTCTGTTGAATAATGGATTTCACAAAAGTACTTTAGGAACAATACCTTGCACAAAACCTACAGTTCTCTAACATCCTGTCACATATACTTTATACAAATTGCAAACTACTGAAGCATGAGCCTTTCTGTCTGATTCATGATTTTACAATTACACTTTTTTTCCAGAAATACTTCCTTGGTGCTGTTACTTGTGCAGTAGCTTTTGTCCTCTGCATGATAATCCCGAAAGGACTCCTCTTGTTTTTAAAACTGTTATTTGCCCTAGTACATGCAGAGGAGCAGAATTAGTTGGAATAGTTCAGTGATTTTGCAGATACAAAGAAACCCTAAAACTTTCATCCTACATGATAATAAAAGGCAGGTTTATGGCCATGTAATCATTTTAGCTGCCTCAGCGGGACAGGGTATATTGGAAGAAAAAGAAAAGCTTTGTCTTGCATAAGTGCCATTTTGTTCTTTAAAGAGATACCATAATTCTGCAATAAGTGCATTTGTTGTCATGGATTTTACAAATAGTGAAGCACAATTAGAGGATCCTATAAAGTTGTCCTGTCCATTTTGATAAGTGGATGCAGCTGGATCATATGGTAACAGCTCTGCAGCTCACAGTCTCTTCTAAGTTAAAGCTTTGGTTAGTAAGAACCCATTTCTAATACTAACTGCAGGAGAACCGTCTTCAAGGGCTGGTTGCCATGGAGCAGATGTTTGTGCATGAAGGACATTTATCAAAGCAGACTTTGTGGCCAAAAAATACATTTTCATGATTGCTGCATTGTATTGGAGGTCTTGCTGATCTTGGGGCTGGGGAAGAAGAAAAGATGATAGTGAAAGTCTGTATGTGTGTGTGAACATGTGCAGATGAGTTCTGATTTTACTGTGTTTGTTATAGATGGCGAACCAGAACCTGCTGATGGGAAAATTATGTTCAGGAAGCCAGCCAAACGTTCCTCAGAGAAGTCTTTGGATTTCAATGTAAGTTCAAGTAAGAAGATGAAAGAGGCAAAGAAAGCTAAGAGAGAAGAAACTGCTTCTCAAAGTACGGCTAAGCAAGTAAAAAATAGCAGTCTCCTCTCATTTGATGATGAGGAAAATGATGATTAGGAGCTGTATTTTTTTATATATATATTTTACTTGCCCTTCTGGGGATCTGAGTAAGAAGTTTTCAAACTGTGTATCTGAGTTGCCTCTTACTTTGTTATAGTCCAACTAGAGAAACGGAATCTAAAAGTAGCAAGAGCTAAATGTTTGCAGTTCAGATGGAGCTGTATGAACAGTATTTCATGTCTTTAGTTTAAAAAGAGAATTTAACTATGTATGTAAAAGCTATTTGAGGTCACAAATGATTAGCAAAATATACCTATACGTATCCAGCTTATCTAAATTTTCAATCAATGATTTTTAAAATGTCCTCCTTTACTAAAAACATATTTCTTCTCTATTTATTGGACTCAGTTAACAGTTGTCTGGCTTTTTTACCTGTTAATGTTGACTTGACATTCAAAAGTGAGAGACTTCATTGCAGTGGAACAGAGACTAAAGTTTTCTGTCTCATAGCTTGGCAAAACTTTGCACTAAGTTTTGCATGTGTGGTTTAGCAGATCAGCTCTTTGCAGAGCCCTTGCAGTAAGTCAGCCTGCAGTTGCTAAAATCTTAATCCTATCTTTAGTGAATGCAGTCTAAGCATCAAATTCATTTGAATTGTGCTAGCAAAATATAAACATTTTATTTTTGTAGTTGATTGTATCAACAAATCTAAAAGAAAGATGCCTAAACCCTTGGGGATCACGCATTTTGGTTATCACACTGATGGGCTCAGTGTTTTGATGGTGGGTTTTTTTTGAAGTATATTTGTTCAAGTTACATATGTGCTTATAATTATTTGGGATCTCAAACAGTTTACTTAAAAAAATGTATTTAATCTTTAATCTGTGGAAAAGCATTATTTTGGTTTTCTTCAAGTAGGAAATTGCAAACAGGAAATTTAAGTCAAGAAATGTGATAGCTGTGATACAAAGTTTTAAAATTTTTCAGTTGCTCATTCACAGAGCACTGAAAGTGACCTTTTCTGTAACAGGATGTGCTGAAATTGAAAATAACACTGAGAGCTGATGGAATTGGGGAGAACAAGGTGGTGGAAATGGGACTAGTGACTTTGAAATTACTTGGAAGAATGGTGTGTTCTGTAACTGTATTTAAGCAAGACCTGAGGCTGCTGCAGAATTACAGGGTAGAAGGCAATGAAACCAGTTCTGCTGCGTGACAGGACATCCAGAATTATTTGGGCTGTAAAGCTTCATTGAGGAGCAAATTTGAAGTTGCTGTGTGAAACAGCTGGTTTTACTTTGTTAATCTGGTATTAAACAATAAATTATGTTTTCTGTACGTGGTCCAAAGATATTTTAATGAGAATTTCAGTGCATAAAATGGGATTTTTTTGTCACCTGATAATGTAGCCTCTTACCACTACTACCTGTATATACCAACTTCCTGCAGTATCACATGCAAATCTGCATACTATTTCACACTAATTGTGTGAGTGCATGTTACCCTGATTTGAAAATAAATAGATCTGTTGTCCTTTCAGAAAATTAAAAACAGACCTATAAATGTATGTTAAAGTCATCTTGTAGCACTGGCCTGATATTAGAACTGCCAGAGAGGTGCAGTGTGACAACCTGGTTATTTCCATGAGGACATGTTACATCTGTAAGTACATAATTTTTCGTTATTCTGCATGTATAAAAAGAAAATCAAATGTAAGAGGAAGAAATACAGAATCAAAGGTTCCCAGAGATTAATCTTTCCATTTATTTTGTATACTTAGAACTTGTTTGAATCCATTAAAAATATATATATATACACCCTCCTGAGAAATCTTGTAGCATTAGAGTATACTGAAGGGATAGTTGAGCATATTTCAACAACTAAGTAAATACTCTGATTTGCTGAGACTCCTCTGAAAGAATGAATTAACCATTGACTGCTTACTTAAACTTTTCTGGTTCTGTTCGTCAGCACAAAAATATACTTTCTTACATTTTTCTTGCAGAGCCTGAAAGCTCTTCACTTTAGCTGTGAGGCAGTTTAGGAGACATGGCTATCAAGAGATAAATGCTTGCCAAGGATCAGAGGGAATTTGGATTTACCTTAAAATTAGAGAGGGCCTCCCAAATATGCAGCTGATTTGGCATGTTCAAAATAAGATTGATGTCTTGTTTGAGTCTAGTTAGTCATTTCATTTAAACAAAACTTGCTGCTTCTCGTGAAAGACTTGTGAGACTGAAATCCAGTAAATAGAGGGTTTCCTCAAAATAGTGGGTGCAGTACTTTTGCTTAATCATGCTTCTTGCCCTCCAACTTCAAATGACAGATGTCTGGAATGCAAATAAATTAATTGGATTTACGTGGAAATGATATAATGAAAGGCATGTTGTTCTTCAGGCAACACAGCAGGGGAAAAAAAGGTGGATACGGAAGCCCAGTTTCTTTCCTTTATTCTGACTGATTTGTAGTGCTCTGACCAGGAGGAGACCTTTGTATTCATTGTATTTCACTCTGAGTTGCCCTAACAATAACTAATTGGATGTATTTATTAAGAGGTGTGAGTGATGCACCAAAGCATCAAGTAGTCATGTGAAAATTCAGTGCTCTTAATGTGACACACCAGGAAAATTACACACGCCATCAACCCCCCATGAAACCTGTGACTAAAGAGAACAATTACTTTTTCCTGTAGGGAAGAAACGTGAAACTGTCTTAAGCAATCACCTGCCTGAAGCAGTGGGTCATGGAAAAATAATAATCACAAGAACTTTCTAATAAAGGGGAAGCCAAAGTGAGCACATGGAACATGGGGCCAGGACTGGGATGGGCAATTTTCCTCGCTTTTTCTGTCTCTTCCTAGCCCCCATCCTCTCTCCTTTTCCCCTCCTGTAGTGGGGAATGTCTGTGTAGCTTTCTTCTTGTGGAGCTTGCTCAGCGTGAGAGAAGCGAAAGTCGCTGTGGCCTATTACCTAATATGGGAACCTTGTACAGTTTTTATTAATAAAAAAAAAATCTTTGACATTTCCCAATTCATTAAGACTCCAAAACATTTCTTGATGGTGCTGTTTGTTCTGGCTCGTCTTAGCTGAGCAGTGAGCCAGACCAAACCTGGTGAACTGTGGGAGCGTTGCGGCAACGGATGCTTGTAGTGGAGGCTGCTTATGTTGCAAAGGTGCGTGGATGTCATCAGGAAAGGTAAGATGCTCTGTCACCTTTCTTCCTTCTGAAGAAACAGGATCTTTCTCGAAATGATGGGTGAATCACCAAGAGTGCTGCCTTATTGAGATAGAAATTGCGAAGATTACGGGACAGAATGAGCAAGAAAACGCACGTGTAGGCACGGGGTCCAGGAGTTCTTACTCTTGGTTATATTTCTAGCCTGTCTGATATGGTTAATTTTTCTCAAAATCAAATTTGTTTGACTGCAAATGGTCATTTCATTGGCCGAAGCAGGAAGGGATGAGTCAGAATTCTGTTCTGATAGATTTTGTTTCCGGCACTTTTCCAGGAAGTATCATTTGGAGGATCAAAGGCTGTGTTTTGCAGACACTGAACACAAGAAGCCCATATTTAGCTGTTTTAATTCCATATTTTTTCAAGTTCCATCACGGGACTTAATGTCTGTCTTTTTTTTTTTTTTTTGCAGTGCTTCAGTACATAATCCTGTTAGGAAGCTGCAGATTGATAATGAAGCAGGAAGTAGCAGTGTCATCGCTTCAGCTGATTGTTTCCCTTGCGCTGGAGTGTATTAACTAAATAATGCTTCACTTGGCTGCCTGGAGCCAATTGCATTCTCAAGGACACGAGGCGTGCCTGAAGATGAGTCATTACCTTTGGTACAGCACAGGAGGTATGAGATGCAGTCTCAGCAAGTGTTTGCCCATTGAAGTTGGTTAATAACCTATAGCCCTCTCCCGTGGCAAGATGCCATGAATCAATCCTTTGTGCATTCAGCAAACAGAAAGGCTGCTGTATCAACTGCCTCTTCGGTATCATCCCTTTATTCCCATTCCTAGAGCAGATCTCTCTGCAAAGGCATTTTTCATGTTGTAGACCTCCCCTTCCACCCCGCTTAGTTGCGAGCATTCCCGAGGCAGCAGTCACAAGGAAAGCCATTAAAACTAGGGGGCAGAAACCACAGGGTTTTATATAAGTGATTGCAACCTCCTGTAGACTTCCTCAAGATTTGGAGAACCTATAAAATCTCAGAGCCAGCCCCTGGGAAGTAACTTCCTCTTGGGGGAAAATGGATGGGACCAGTCAGGAAAACTACACAAGACTGAATTCTACAGTGTTTCCCCCGTTATCACTTCTTATTTCTTTCTTGGCGGTAGAGCAACAGCTGGCAAAAGCAGTTCTACCTCTGTCAGGAGATGTAAAGTGTCTTTGGTGCCATTCCAATCCATATGGCAAACGATTCCTTTTCCTTGACTCCTGTGGCAGCCCTCAGTGCAACGCCTGATCGGTTAGGGCCATGGGCAAGAGGGAGCTGCCTTGTAAGAGGCAGAAGTTATTAGAGGAAGGTGTTGTCGAGCCTCCGTGGGGTAACGGTGATCACTGCACACTTTTAGTTTTGATATCATGAAAGAGTTGTTCCCTTAGGGACAACACAGTAACAACGAACTTTAAAAGGGCAGATTATAAAACTATGAGGAAAATGGTTAACAGCAGGCTGAAGGGCAAAGAGAGGTACTTAAAAAACATAGAGATCTGCCTGGAGGCTATTTAAGAACGTGGTATTAGAGGCACAGATGGTTGTATACCTCTGAGCAAAAACACAGCGTACGGAGAAGAAGGAAACTCACAGGGTTACGTGGGAGAAAAGCGTGACTAGAGAAAGGCTGAAAATACGTCCCTTAAAAATGACGACTGTCTGAAAGACAGACTAGGAAATGTTACCTGGAGAGTGGAAAGAGCTGAAAAGTGTCAGTGCTAAGAAAAAGACTATAGCAGCTGCTGACTTTGCATCTCCAGGATAAAACACCGAAAAGAGTGATTCTAATGATGTCCTGAGCACTTTGCCTTTGAAAACTGGGCTACTCCAGATGAGACTTCCCCAGAAAAACAAGGATGCTCTTAATCTGAGTTAGCTAGCGCAGAACAAAATCTCAGTAAAGCCCAATCAGTCTGTAGTTTTAATATGTGACCAGGCCAATTTTAAGAGTAAAGGAGCCCATTCAAACATAGTTTCTCTGTATTAGGACTTTAATTTCACCTTGTGTTAGATTCAGTGCCAAAAATGATGTTTTTATTCTTTGCCAAAGAAGGTAGAGAATTCTAATGATGTCCTGAGCACTTTGCCTTTGAAAACTGGGCTACTCCAGATGAGACTTCCCCAGAAAAACAAAGATACTCTTAATCTGAGTTAGCTAGCACAGAACAAAATCTCAATAAAGCCCAATCAGTCTGCAGTTTTAGTATGTGACCAGGCCAATTTTAAGAGTAAAGGAGCCCATTCAAACATAGTTTCTCTGTATTAGGACTTTAATTTCACCTTGTGTTAGATTCAGTGCCAAAAATGATGTTTTTATTCTTTGCCAAAGAAGGTAGAGATAAAGAAAAAAATCAAACACTCCTAAAAATTCTAATTTTAGTGAAAGCAAAAAGCCTATACTTGTTTGGTACAGCTTTGGGCTGGGAGGGAGACTGTCTGATTAGGATGTAGTCACGTTTGCAGAGCTTTTTCGCACCAATGTGTAATTGGGCAGATGCAGCATTTTGTTGTCATGTATCTGAGAACAGGAACACGCCGATTATAAATTAGATGGGGAACATCTCAAGTATCACGAATCTGATGATGCGGGCAAAGAAAGTGTCCTTGTGAAATGAATGAAAGTTATTTTCTGGTTTAAAACCAAGGCGAGGCAGGGGAAGGTTAGAACATCTATTTTGGCAATAAAGGCTTGATGCACCACGGTCTCAGTGGGACTACAGCCCTGGCATCTAGGCTGTTTTATTCTGCCCTGTTAAATTGAAACAAACAATTCAGCTGCCCGAGTCTCTTCTTGTCTCCTCTGACGTGCCAGCTATCTTGAGAGAAGAGATTAAGCATTGTTCTGATCAGTGCTGCAGCAGCAGCAGCTTTATGATTTAAGGGCTGCATAAAATTTATGGAGCACTGAGAAGAGCTTAAATCAATTTTATGATTTTCATAAATTATTGCAGGCAAGACCATGTTTGTGTAGAAAGCCAGTGACGTTTGCGCTGTTTATCCAATGGACAACAACATTCAAAACGGGTTTTCAAAGGCACCTGTAGGAATTATGCATTTGAGTTTGATGGGAGTTGGAAGACTTGTTCCTTTGAGCTACTTAGTATTCCACTATTAATTTTTAATCATGCCAAATTGTTTCAAATACTTAGTAAAAATCAAAATTAGAGGAAGGTCAAATTCAGAGCAATTTTAAAATTTCATTTAAATTCCTAATGTGCTTATAACAGTGGGTGGGTAACTCTTAATTCTATTTCAGGTGAAAACCCCTTTGGTACTTGAAGAGTCAACCCCTCCCTTACCACGGTGTCTTTTGGGGTTGTTGTTTAGGCCCCCATTACTGTGAGGAATTTTGCTCTTTCTGTGCTTGAGGCTGTATCTGCAAATTACTCCAGCTGCTAGAGAGAAGGATCTGCCTGTAAAGCAGAAAGAGGAACAATACCTGGTTCCTCATAGCACATTTCAAGATTATATAATAAGACAAATATAATTCCTTCCATTACAGAAATGACTAGAGCTTGATCTTTCCTTCTGGACAACTAGCCAAGGTGGAGATGATAAGATACAGGTCCCATATCATCCTAATTTGGGTGTTACTGGTGATTGAAAGAGCCCTCCCCTCACTGGGCATTATGCCCATCAGGACACAGATAGGTTGGAGACCTTTCTTTCTACCGGGATACCTCTGAGCTATAATATTCGGTATTTAATTTTCTGTATTTTAAACTTCTCTGAAAAGAAATCATTGTGTTTCAGGTTATTGCGGACTGAATATGCTCAATGGTATTAATGGGAAGAACAGTTGCTGAATTCCTCTGTGCTGGATGGGCATCTTGGGCTAATTTATTTTCTGACATTACTCTATTGCTCTCAATGAAATGACACCGATGGATACACAAGCTTCTTACTAGACCTACTAGAACAAGGTAGTCTGAGACAAACAGGTTTAAATTCAAGAAGTGAAACATCTTGCCACTGAATCCCATAGTCAACAACATATTTAAGTGATGGGAGTGACTGACTCAGTGGTCATTCTGCAGGAAGGGGTCTGTGACTGCTGTGAATTAAAAACTGAAGACGGGCCTCGGTGTGAGGAAAGCCAATGCAATTTTGGCTCTATAAATAGTGTGTCACTGAGAAGAAATGTGAAGTAGTCCTGCCCTACTTATTCTCCGCTTCAGACTTTAGCTGGAGTAATGTGTCTACTTTTGTGCACTATACTTCAAAAAAGAAAAACGTAGACCGATTGGAAAGTCCAGCAGAAAGTACTGCTATTGATCCAGAGTCTAGAAAACACGACCTGTGAGGAGAGATTGAAAGAAGTGGGTTTATACATCTAGAGAACGGAGATGCAGGGGAGGGAATAAGAATGTGAAACCAGTCTTCAGATATGTAAAGCTTGCTGCAAAGAGGAAAGTAATAAATTGTTCTCTGCTGGGAATACAAAAAGAACTAATGATTTTAAATTGCAGGAAAGGAGATTTAAGGAAGACATTAGGACAGGCTTTCTAGCTGTAACAGTAGTGAAGTGCTGAAACAGATTGCCCGGGGAGGTTGTGGGATCTTCATTGCCAGACATTTTTAAGAACAGGTTAGACAAACATCTGTCAGGAATGATTTGGGTATAATTGATCCTGCCTTAGGGCAGAGGGCTGGACTGGGTGACCTCATAAGGTCCCTTCCAGCCCTATTTTCTATGGTTCTCTCGTTAGGAAGGCTGATGTGATATTCCTAGGACCTTATCATTCCTTTTAAAAGCAAAAACATGCTATAGCAATGCCAAGAGTCAGATTTAAAGTGACAACATCTGGGAAAATTCAAAGCTTCAGGTTGATATCCCACCCTTAATTACTAACACTTGAATGCATGCAACACAGTTGGACTTGTTCAAAGGCTAAACACTTGGAGGTCACACAACTGTCTTTTGTGACCAGACTGGGATCTTTTAATAGCATAAGAATTTGTTTCTTCTAAGGTGTATTAATCTTATATATTGCAACTTCCATTTTGTCATTTAAGTAGCAGGCATTGGTCTTTCTCATCTAACATGTGCCAGGTGGGGTCACTCTCATTTCACATGCCATAGCCAGTTTGGCCACACGCTCTGCTTCCACTCACTTGCTCCAAAGCTTGTTCTTCCACTCCAGTTCATCATGACACCGGTGCTCAGCTTTATTACATGGCTGTGTTTAATTCACTAATACCGCTGTTAAGGCTCTTGGTACACTCCTCTCTGTTCTCAGACACTGGATATTCCTCCTGCTGCTTTCTGCTGACATGTTCTTTTATTCCTGTTGATAAATTTCATTTTCATCTGTCTTTTGCTGCTTTCCCTTCAAGCTGTGCTTGTGTTACAAACTGCGGTTCAGCAGTTTAACAATTGGATTGCGTCCAAATATTACCAAATGCCACATCTTTTAATATCAGGCAGAGCAGCTTGAATTTTCTTCCTCAGAGCGCTGTCAAAGACACACTGGCGTGTTTTCTGTGCAAATGCCAAAATAAAAAAAAGAAGTTTAACAAAAGATGAGGGGTGTGAAGCAAGCTGAAATGTCTGCATTCCCAGAATTTTGTATTTTTGCTGATTTCAGATTTTAGTTCATGACCCAGCTGCTGATTTATGCAACTCCGTGGAACTATGCCAGTTTCGAGCAGCCAAGAATTTGGCACTGTCACTTTTGTGACTGTTGGTACCTCAGCGTTCAGTGATGTGACTCTGTGTGTTTTTTTCCCCAAAGGTCATGCCTGTCCATTGGTGATTGCAGTATTGCAATCCTATGTCAAGTGGAATTATAATATATATACATGAAGTTATAAGTGGGGTTATAATATATAGAGAGACACACGTATATATATGTATGTATGTGTTACATATTTGGTTTGAGTTTGGCCCTTCAGGTTTTATGGTTGCAGAGCTTTTCTCTACGGCTACATGGAGAATAGAAACTAAAGTAAAAATAGAGACAAACCCAGAATAAAACTGTGTTTTTCACATAATCACAGAATGCTTCCAGAAGCTGAGACTTGAAAAAATTCAACATATACCATGAAATTTGGTAACATTATGACTGGATACTTGGCCGTTAAATTGTTTTACTGCATCCAGCAGAGAAGGATGCTATCTGTTGTTTTTCATAATGGTGAAATGCTCATCAGGGTGCTGTAAGACACCCTTTGCCCTGTGTATATTTGGCATTTCCTTGTTACAGACTGACCATATTCACTGAAGCTGTGGGTATTGCATGAGGTCTGCCACAGAGGAGGACTCCTGTTCATTGCTGGGGGCCTTGGATGAGAGTCAAGAGTAGCTTTTGCCATGGTTGCTCATCTGTTTCACTCCAGGCTTGCCTTTCATGTGTTTTGGAGATAGATGGACAAACGACACAGATATTCTGGATCATCCAGATCATGGCTGCCTTCCTTGTCTGTATTGTACATTCTTTGTGTGTATTCCCAGCTTCTGCTGTGTCTGTGTGTGTAGGCGGGTGAAGTGGTGTGCTCCAGAACCCACATGCCCCCAAAGTTTCCACTTCAGATGCACTGGCTCAGTCCAGGCCTTTGTCTGAGGATGGATTTCCCTCACGTCACTTGTTTCTACTTTGTGCTTTGCATTGCTCAAAACACTCATTTTTCTCTCCCCTGTGGGTACAGTCCGTGGCAAGGGATGACTTGACCCTGAAATGCAGTTTCATTCCTTCTGCCTGCTTGGTTAGTGCTGAGATGGAGAGGAAGGTAAGCCTTGTTACTCGGACACTGCAACAGGGATCCCGCTCCTGTTGTGTTTCCTGGGCAATACTGGTTCTTAAGATCTTGTTTTCCCATATTGGCAGTTCCCCATATACCACAGCATGAGGAGAAGAATACTTTTTTCTTTCTGCTTTTGTGTCTAACTTGCCTGTTTACATAAGGTGGCAATTTTTGTTGGATTGTGAGTGCCCAGTGTGTTTTTTCCTGTACCTCTTTGGCCATTTGCTCTTTAGTTCTTCCTCCTCCTGCTTACAGCCCCAGCACTGAGGCTGACGGGTCACCCAGCACATCTTCACCGCAGGATGGGAAGGGACCTGTTCATTGCACCTCGGGAGCAGAACCAGAGCGAACGTTTCCCATACAAACCTGTCTCAAATGAGTGAGGTAAGGTGTTTGCATCCCATCGCACCTCTGCAGACCTTCTGAGTTGCCCTCTTTGCCCTCCGCTTTGGGTTGGCACAGGCAGAGGCCAAAAGTGCCTGTGAAAGGTGCTCCACCATTCCCCCGGCTCCTCTGCACCTCTGAGGAGTTCAGAGAGTCCACAGTGGCTGCAACACCAGCTGGATGTGGGGTTTGAGTGATTCAGAGACTTCTATGTGTAGATGCTAGCTTTTTTAAGGCACCTTTCAGAGCCCGAGAGCCTGTGTAGGCTTTAATAAATGTTTTTTATCTTAGGTGTCAGCTTTAGTGCAGTCATTCAATACCACCTGCACAAATTCATACCCATGGGTCTGGCTGAGCTGTGCAGTTTAGAAACCCAGTTCCTGGGTGATCATTTGAAGGGACAACACCCTTGTATCATGAGTTTATACAACACCTACCCCAGAGGAGCCCTAATCTGTGCTACAGGCTCCAGGGTACTGCTTTAGTACACAAAATAATAGTAATTTGTAAATGAATCAGGGAGATTTTAAAATCAATTTTCTTCAGCAAACAGCAATTATTGAAATGGCTGCAGTTATCACTGAGGACTGAGTGTATAAAACACTTCAAGATACAGAATCGGATTTTATAAACATACAATTCTTTTATCAATAATTCTTAAAAGCAGGTTTCTTTCTGCACTCTCCCTTTTGCCAAAACTCTCCTCTCTATTATATACTGAGATCATTTCCCTCCTGGATAGCTGCGGATTTGTTGGTATACAAATTAATTTTTTTATTGACTGGAATGAACAGTTGGAGGATAAGAATGCCATTGCTGTTCATACCTAAAGGTAATCAATACAGGTACAGAGGAACAAGTATTTTCTAACCGAGTAAGCATCCTCTCTAGCCTTATTTCCTGTCTCTAAAACCCACAGGACCGTAGCCTGGCTGTTGCATGTGTGAACAAAGCAGTGAGAGGCAACAGCATTTAAATCTTGTTACCACAGAAGGATTGCGGAGAGAGAAACATCTCTCCTCCTCTCGGCTCTTCCCATTCTCCAGCTCAGCAGTCACTCACTCCTAACAATCTACGCCAACCCTTTGACTGCAGTGGCAATAATTGTTTGTCTGTCACCAATTTATAACCCCCAAAACAGTGGAGAAGAAATAAATTCCCTACTTGAAATGGCTTGATGTCTGCGTGGGAATGGCAGACACGGTGTTTAAGAGAGAGGATGTGAGGGGATATTACGATGATAGAATAATTTTGGTTGGAAGAGACCTATAAGATTATCAAGTCCAACCATCAACCTAACACTGCCAAGTTACCACTAAACCATGTCCCTCAGCGCTCTATCTACAGGTCTTTTAAATACCAACAGGGATGGTGACTCCACCACTTCCCTGGGCAGCCTGTTCCAGTGCTTGATAACCCTTTTGGTGAAGAATTTTTTCCTAATATCCAATCTAAACCTCCCCTGGTGCAACTGGAAGCCGTTTCTGCCTGTGACTTGGGAGAAGAGAGCGAGGCCCATCTCTCTACAGCCTCCTGTCAGGTAGCTGTAGAGGTCGGTAAGGTCTCCCCTCAGCCTCCCTTTGTCCAAGCTGAACACCCCCGGCTCCCTCAGCCTCTCCTCATCGGACTTGTGCTCACCAACTCCATTGCCCTTCTCTGGACACAGAATCACAGAATCTTCTAGGTTGGAAGGGACCTTAAGGATCATCTTGTCCAACCGTCAACCTAACTGACAAAAATAGACATCCACACAACAAACAAGGATCAGCCTGGGCCCTGCCTGCAAAGTGAATGTTATTGCCATGTAAAAAGGAAATTTCGGGGAAAGAGGAGCAAAAAGTGGTGGAGTTTGCCCTGTTCCTGGCCTATTCCACTGCCCAGCTCCAGCTACTCCCAACTGATCCCTTGGTGCCGTTTCTGTGGCATTTCAGGCTTTTCTTCCTCAGAGACACCCGGGACATTTGCACACCCTTGTAGCCAGATTCTGCCTTAATTTACGCCTGAAATCGGGGCGGGTGTGGTGTGTGTGACAGAACGCCGGAGCTAAATTTCGCTTTGCTTCAAGTGGCTGGCCCCTTCCACAGGGTTCGCAAAGGAAATGCCGGAGCGAGAGGGAGGAGGCCGGCCCCCTCAGGAGCGGCGGCCCAGCTGCTCCAGCGAGCCCACCCTCCTCTCGCAGAAGGGCTTCCTTCAACGCAAATCCTCCAGCCAACAACCCGGCCGAGGCCGCTACCGAGCCCCCGAGCCCTCCCGCCGGGGCGCCGCAGGGGCCAGGCGGCGGCGGGGACCGGCTGCAGCGCGGTGGCGGGACGGCAGATGGCGGCCGCGCCTCAGGCAGCGGGGCGGGGAGGCCGCCCCCGCGGCGGGGAAGGGAGGGCCGGGCCGGCGGGGCCGGGGTTTCCTCAGGGCTGTCAGCAGAAGGGTTGCAGGGTGGGGGGGTTTGGGGTTGGTTTTTTGGAGGGTTTTGTTTGCCTCTTTGTTTATTTTGTCCTTATTTCGCAAACTCGCAGAACGGTAGGGGTTGGAAGGGACCTTTGGAGATCAGCTAGTCCAACCCCCCCCCTGCCAGAGCAGGTCCACCCAGAGCAGGGGGGACAGGAATGCATCTAGGCGGGTTTGGAGTATCTCCAGAGAAGGAGACTCCACACCCTCTCTGGGCAGCCTGTTCCAGCGCTCTGCCATCCTCAAATAAGTTTTTCCTCATGTTGAGACAGACATTCCTGTGTTCCAGTTTGCGCCCGTTGCCCCTTGTCCTGTTGCTGGGCTCCACTGAGAAGAGCCTGGCCCCATCCTCTTGATACCCACCCTTTATAAGAATTGATGAGGTCCCCTCTCAGTCTTCTCCAGGCTAAACAGACCCAGGTCTTTCAGCCTTTCCTTACAAAAGAGATGCTCCAGTTCCCTGATCATCTCTGTAGCCTTCCGCTGGATTCTTCCCAGTTGTTCCCTCTCTGTCTTGAACTGGGGAGCCCAGAACTGGACACAGTAGTCCACCAGGGCAGAGTAGAGGGGAACAATAACCTCCGTCAACCTACTGGCAACACTCCTTTTAGTGCACCCCAGGAGACTGTTGGCTGCCTCGGCCACGTTCTTGGTGTAAGCTTAGTCATGTGAAAAGTCTCCACTGGGTTCAAGAGAAGCCTCCATAACCAGCCCTGTGGGGTGTCAGGGAGGCGTTAGCCCAATTCTGTGTGCCACTGAACAAACTGTAGTATCACCAATGTCTAAATCGTTCAATTTCTCTTTGATTCAGCTGGCTCTATTTGCAGTGCCTGACCTGCCATCTATTCCCGTTATTTGGGTGTTCTCTCCCAGCACAGGTGTGCCCACAGCTTTATTAAACAAAACAAACTGGAGTTTAATATTTTGGCCGAAGTGCAATCTGAAATGCAAAAGGAGAGGCCCTAGTAAGGTGCGATTTCTAATATGTCACAAAGTGCAAAAGAGTTCAGGTCAATTAATCGATATTTGTGGAATTGCAGAGTAAAATTTCCAACTATTGGATGTTTGGTAACAGGGATATTTAATCATTAGACCTTGTATACTTACACTCAGCCTGTATGCATGGACAATGTTTTAGAAAGGCACAGTGTGCTGGAGATGTAAAAGTAATTCTGGAGGTGAGTTAGGTTTTCTGAAATCTCTGAATCTGACCTGTTATGGGAATAGGATACAAGTACACATCAGGTAATGAAACTTGCACAATATGATATGGGACCAGAGCTCATTTAAATGGATCTGCCATTTGATGGCTGCCTTACTGCTCACGGCTTCTCCTCTGAGTGCCAGCCCCCTCCTTTCTGAAATGAGAACAGTAAGATAGCCATCCTTTTAAAAGCATTATCAAACCTGCTGGTGAGCATTTTCACATGCTGTTTCCTCTTTGGTTTGTAACTGTATTTTTAAATAGAAGTGGGCAGCAACTGTGATTTTCAGCCAAACACTTAGGAATGTAGACGTAGGTAAAAAGCTGTGTCTGCAAGGTCCACCTTCCCTCCTTAAACTACCAGTTCCATAACCTTGAATGCTTTTTTGACACCTCTGTAGACTTAACTAAATAAAACCAAAGGAGGAACAAGCTGTTTTGTTTCTCAAGCAAATACATACGTTTTTATTATTAAACCTGAACATCTGAAGTTAAGAATCAGATTTTTTATTTGGGAGGAACAAGCTTTTTGTTTTTCAAGCAAATACATACCTTTATATTATTAAACCTGAGCATCTGAAGTTAAGAATCAGATTTTTTATTTGGGCTATGAGTATCTATTCTCTCTACTCTCATCTTGGTTTAGGTGGTAGATTTTTAGCTTTCTGAGGCA